ATGGTTGATAACATTCATAGTTTTGGGGATTGGCCATCGACCAGAATGAACCTTATTGGCTTTTGTATGTAGCATTTGCATTGCTTTTGGAAAGTTTCAGTCAGATATCTTCAGAAATGGCAATGTTATCGGCTTTTGCATTTTACCGTAGTCGGTTAATCACAGTTTTCGATATTGCAAAGGCAATTTCAGTACGTTCTTGACATCGAAAACCGAAACGAATAGCATCATCGTGTTCCAGAGCTCAAATTGCATCCGATGCACATCTTTTTTGTTGAGAATGCTCAACTTCAAAATTTGACCTTTTTGACCTCGCCGTGACCTGACCTTCATTTGTCGAATGGAAATAGTTTTGAATCGGACGACCCAGATGACATCATTTTTAGATGCTTTTGCCGAAATGGACCATTAAAGATGTGTCGCATGACCTTAAAAATGTATACACTTCCTTCCATGACCTTTTCCATGACCTTTTGTGACCCATGACCTTTCCATGACCTTTTGTGACAAAGTTAGGTTTCGTTTGTCAGCTATTCCTATCAGAAGCCGTTTGAACTTTTAGTATTGAACGAGTAGTTTCGAAGACAGCAGTAACGCTATGCAAAATCCCCTCCCGAGTGACCCACGTCATGGGATATACCCGTCATCCGCGGATTACAAGCAAAAGTATTTTTTACGGCAATGATGTATCAGCATGGATGCTCATACGTTCCCATATGTGACATTACGGTTGACTTCACATACAATAAAAATTCCTTGGCAAAATGTCAACTGGTTAACGAGTTATCGCATTTTGGCCACTTCCGAACTCAAATAGCGGCTGTGTGCGGCGGACTGGAGAGGGCTGGGGCGTGCTGGAGCTGCTTGGCTGAGATGGGATGGTCCCACTCCCAACCAGCCAGTGCAAATGGCAAATGGAGGCTGTCCTCTGGTGGCCGCCTACAGTGTGGTGTTGAGTAGAATGTCCACGCCTTTTGCGTTTTATTTCGTCTCGGAGAGCCAAGATTACACGGAGACCGGCGACGCTTTGAGAAAGGATGGCCGGTAGGAAAAACACCCGCCGGTAAACGGAGGCCTGTCAGGCTGCGCTGCTCTGCTGAGGAGCCGATGGCTGGAAGACGGATGGCCGGCTGCAGCGTGCTCTCGTCTATCTGAGCTTTCGTACACGATCCGAGCCAGCGGGACATTTCTCGGCGCTCTGCGGCGCCGCTTCTGGGCCGGTGCAGCAGATGTTGTGCTATTGATCTCAGCAGCAGCGCCGATGTCTGCGATTTGTTTTGCGGACTGGTCGGCCGGTAGTTGAATTCGGAAAGTTTCCTGCGCCCATTGCGGCCGAATGTCGGCGGGTTCAGTGGAGCGACTATCAGGATATCGGACTGATGGAGAGAGAGAGAGAGAGAGAGAGAGAGAGAGAGAGAGAGAGAGAGAGAGAGAGAGAGAGAGAGAGAGAGAGGGAGAGGGAGAGGGAGAGGGAGAGGGAGAGGGAGAGGGAGAGAGAGAGAGAGAGAGAGAGAGAGAGAGAGAGAGAGAGAGAGAGAGAGAGAGAGAGAGAGAGAGAGAGCTGCAAGTAATTAGAAGAATGTAGTGAAACTACCGAAGGCTCCCAGTGGATGGTTATTAATGAACAATGATGAATCCCCACTCACTCTTCTCTGTGCATGTGGATGAGCGCGCACTAGCGCAGTGCCTGTCGCTAAAGTGGCTGGCACCACAACGCTATTATCATTACTGAAAGGACTCGTTCTTTCAGTAAGGACTCGTCCTTTCTGAAATTTAATAATGGCTTAAAAGAAGTTATGAAGACTGAAGGGAAACGTCTAGACCGTCGCGTTATTTGCTTGTTCTGAGCAAACTGGTGGTGATGGGCGAATGTGAATAAAAATATGATTTGGTGGGTGAGAGGGTGTTGTCAGGTCCTTTGGTCCGACCATTGGTGCGGATCGGCTGCCGGCTCCGTACCACCCACCCAGCTGCAGAGTGGCGCTCTCCCCGGTCCCCGGTCCCCGGCACCCCCGTCCCGGCGCTGGGCCGGCCGATATTTACGGCCCACTCCCTAAGAGGCATAAAGCGGCGCCGGCCGTGAGTGCCGCACTGCTTCTGCCCGATGAACGGGCGCTGTTGTGTCTCAGGCTCGGCGGCTGCCGATCCCAGGCGCTTGGAGACAGCTGCTGGGCGTCGCATGCATGACCTCACCCAGCTGTGCAGTCGTCAAATATGAGCTATCAGTCCTCTGCCTCCATTTCGGTCGTCCATTCAGTGCTGCCTTGCCTTCCGTCTATATTTCCTGATTAGCCCCGTCCGATGTCGCATCTCATTTCTGTTTGTTTCTTGGCTCTTCTCAATTTTTTCCTATCGTTTTTTTTATTCTGCTTACCCCGTTGATATTCCTTCTTCGTCCCATGCCGTTGCTACCTGGCTACTGTATATGCTTCCCGTTTGCGGGTCCGTTGTTTCTGCTTTGCTGCTTATCTCCCGTACATCCCCAGCTCCGTTCTGTATTTGTCCGGCTTCTGTATGAATCCTCGACCTCTCAGCGTTCGTATTTGTATTATGCAGAGGCATTCCTGTTGCTGCCTGTATCTCTCGGCCCTCCAGCTTCGGTATGAGTGCTTGTAGGCGCAGCTGCATTTCCAGTTTCCGTTTGTATCCCCGTCGCTGTTTCCCTGTTTCCGTTTGTATTTTCCCAATCAGTTTCCCCGCACCCGTCTCTATCTGCCGCTGTATCCGCTCCGCCACTGGAGGGACCGATATTCGGGGCAGCCGCCATGTTCCGGCCAGAGGCGCTCTGTCCGCCCCTGCCCCCTAATTCATTGTGTCTGGTGTGCTCGCTGGGCCCGTCCGCCGGGCGCCTTATTGTTTGGTTATTTCCGCTGCTGCCGGCGGCCGGTCAGCTGCGCCTCCGGGCTCCGGCGGCCCTGGGAGCGCGGACACCGGCGTGGGAAACGGGCCGGTCGGCAGGTCTTGTTGCTAATGTACGACCTCACAACGGCCCGTCCGGCAGTTCTATAAACAAATTGTGTTGTTATGCATGACAGAAAAAAAAATGTTGAGTGGCTGCTTTTCATAGAGCCAGTTAAGTGAGCTGTGTATGTATATGGATTGCGAGTATTATTGCCATTATTGGTGAGCTCTTGCATCGCTTCCTTTTTAAAATCGTTCCACTGCGTGACTTGTTACAGATAGGGATGAGCCACGACAGTCACATGCACGAACTCGCAAATGTTGAATTTTCTCTCCAGCGCCGTATCATTATGGGCGCTTTGGGCTTATGTCAGTTGGCGACCAGACATTTATTGCGTCGAATACCTCCACTAAGTATGTGAGACGAGAAAGCTTACTATCATAACGGCAGTTCATTCGTTGAAATGTTACCATCAATGGCCGTTCGGCGATATGTAATCCGACGAATTGCGATTGGCCAGTAGATTGGTCGGCTTGGAGCTGCTCGCTCCGCTCAGCCTATTATGATCAGGCTTTTTGCTCAATCACACTGTAATGGAAAGTCGGCGATAAGGTCGGTTGGCTCGGCTTTGTTGGGAACTGCTGTCGGCTCAGCGGCGTGCCCGTCTCGGCCGCTGTCCGACTGCGTGTGCGGCGGCACAGCCTACCGCTCCAGGCGGCGGGCCGCCGCGCCAGCGCCGCTGTCGCCGGGTGACGGGCAGCGCGCCGGCCGCCGCCGAGCCGCTCCACTGTCACCCGCAGTCGGATCAGCGGCGGCGGCTGTTTTTCTGTGGCTTTGCTGACATGCCGGCGGCGCTGAGCGCCGCCGGGGACGCGGCCGGCCTGCTGGCTGCTGCGGTATCGATGAGAGAACTCCCCGCCGGCCGACAGAAGTTGAACAATAGGAAAGTTGGCCGATAGCTCGGGTACATCGGTCGGCGGTGGCAGATAGGCGGCCGAGCGGGCTTTATGCGACTGGGATGTTTGTGAGTCGCACTGCGCCGCGGGACTGACGCAATAATGCCGGCCGGGGCGGCGGCCGCAGTCGGCAGGAGGATTAGTCAACTGCCGGGACGACATTCATCCATGGAGCGGTCGGAAATGGGTCGCCATTGACCGGTCAGAGTCAGAGAGAGATATGGTCGCTGCTGCTCGGAGCTCACTTAGCTGCCGGCCGGAGGTGAAATTCGCCAGAATGATACATGTGCCTTGTCAACGATCCGCGGATGAATGGTGAGGAGCCGGCATATGGCATTGTCTGTTGCTGAGCGAGGAGAGGTAGTCTATTCAACTGGTGAGACCCAATGGCCATGTGAGGATGGCTTTAAGGACCGTTCAGTCGTCTCAGCTCCAGGTCTTAGTGGCGGGTGCCTGCTACCGCAGAAGCTTGATTTATTATGAATCGATAGAGAATCCACATCAAGATAGGCCAGATACCATGTGTCTATTGAACTCGGTCCTGACTTAACTTCAGAAGACACTCAGTGTGCTCCTCTTTCCATACATACGATATAAGAGTCGAATTTGTGTGAAGTCGTAATGTCAAAATAAGCTTACAGCATGCTCTATCGTACCATATTACAGCATCTCTAAAAGGACACAGCGTTATGAGTATATGCCCACCTCGCCAGTACGGCGGTACGGGACCCTGTCGTCTCCAGTCTGTAGACTACAAGGGACGGACTGTGTGTCTGAGTGACTGCTACGGGTCGCTTCAGCCTGGAGTCTGTGCCCGCAGCCGCGCTATATGTGTGCTGTAGCCTGTCTGTCTGTCCGAGTTATCATGCAAGTTTGTGTCTGTGCAGCCAGCCTGTTCTAACGTGCCCGTCTGGTCTGTAGCTCTTAAGTCGGTGTGTTGTAGTCGACGTGCTGCGTAGTCAGACTTTTCTAACGTTCTGATCTGTAGCTCTTAAGTCGGTGTGTTGTAGCTGACGTGCTGTGTAGTGTGTAGTCAGCCTATTCTTACGTTCTGCTCTGTGTCTATGTAGCCGGCCTGTTCTACTGTGTCTGTGTCTGTCAGCCTGTTCTAACGCGCCCGTCTGTGTGTGTGCTCTGGACAGGAAGAAGCTGGTGCCGCTGCCGAGGAAGGTGGAGCGCCGCGAGGTCCGAAGGGAGGACAAGGCCCTGGTGGCGGCCAACATCGACAAAGCCATCGAGAAGGAGCTGCTCGAGAGGCTGAAAAAGGGCACGGTGAGTGCCGACGGCGATAGACAGACGGAGGGGGGGGGGGGGGCGAACCATGGCTGCACCCAACAGCCATGGAAACAACCCTGCCGGCTTCTGCTGCTGCGCGGTTTGATTCAGTCATTTCAGCGACGCTTGTTGTGCATGTGCAAAGCCCGTAATGTCTTCGTGATCCAATCAAATGGGTGACGCCTGGAATTTGCCTGCCGCACGGCCGTCGATCCACTAAATGGACTGCCGGCATCTAATTGCAGCCGGTTGTTTCTGTTTTGTCGTGTTTGCCGCCGCCGAGTGGCCGCCGGGACTGACGGAGCTGCGTGTGCTGCGGCCGTCAATCACAACCGCTCGGACGGACCAGTGTTCCGGACATGTTTCAAACGGGCTTTGTTCGGCGAGTTATGGCTGTTGTGTCGATCGGCATGGTCTACATGCCGGTGCGATGAGCCCCGGCCGGCCGGCGGCGACTCACGCCATGACCCGGCGCGCAGCCGTCCGCCGTCGGCCGGTGGCTGGGATTAATTTCCTGATCGTAACGAGCGGCGGTCGCCGGCGCCGCTCGGCGGTCGCGAATCGGCGCCGACCGCGCGTCACTGGCGCCGGCGCGTCATTTTTCTCGGTGATTGATCGGCCGCTGAGCGTGCCGCCACGGCCGCCGCGGCTTTTTACGCCGCCGCCGTCACCGGGAACCGATTGGCCGGGGAGAGCCGCCGGTTTACGAACGGGGCGCGCCCGGAGACCGGCCGGTTTACTAACGGGGAGCGCCCGGCCAGCGGTCAACAGGGAGCTGTGCCGGAGAGCGGCCGGTTCGTGCAGCTGGGCGCCCGGCTGGGGACCAGGTTCCTTTGACAGTGACCTCGTCCAGGGATGCTCTGTCCGGTCGGCCAGCAGGTCAGCAGGAGGAAAGTCGACTGTCCCACGGGAGTCACGCCCTGAGCTATCGGCGTTTTCAGTCCAGTGTTGCTGATAGAGGCCATCTGTCGGCGTTCAATATACGGACCTCTCTGATAGCGACGATAGATGCGGCCACTCTGCAACACTGCCGGCACTAAAACTGACGCTAGACTCCTAAATTAATGCGCTGAAATTCATAGCCGTCCATAATTATACTTATAACCTGACTGAACGACATGTCAGCCATAGGCCAGTTCTCTCAGTAACCCCCAAACTATTCGGCCCACCGCTGGGGCAGGTAGCACTCAGTGATGCGATGCTTTCAGTAGGCTACATACAGTAGCAGTTATGCCTGGCGCCTCCATGCCATCGCGTGATTTGCGCTGCGCAAGTGCGCACTATACGGTGCCTGCCATGGTACCCCGTCGCGCTGCCTCCCCTCGGCCGCGTGCCGGGGGACAATGTGCCGTGTCGTGCCGGAGGTGCGTGTCGTTACACGGGAGATGACCTATCGGTGACCGTGTCCCCACCCCCACCTCACCTCCGACACACACACACACACACACACACACACACACACACACACACACACACACACAGGGAGACAGCGCAGTGCCGTACCCTCGGTCTCCGTACAGTCGCACGGCATGACGCCGATTGGACAGTAAATGTGCTTTCTCGAAAGGGTTCCTGGTCCATGTTGTTGGCAATAAGGCATGCATGCACTTTAATTTACCTGCATTGATTGTTCATGACTAGGTAGTCGTTAAACTCGACCTGCAGATGGTTCAGTCATTGACTTTCGATAAAGCTGTTATTGCCAATGCATAGGTCGTTTTCTTTTACAGCATGACGGGGTAAGCGTAAACGTTCATGGCATGTGTAGGTTCCCACTACCTGACGTACCCCATCCCACCACCCATCCCTCCCTGCCCCACCGCCCATCTCTCCGGGCCCCACCGACCGCATTTTCTCCCCGATCAGCCGCGACCGCTGTTGTACCAGCCGCGTTATCCGACTCGAGGATCCGGCGCCGGCGGCCATCTGAGCCTGGCTGGTGACGGATCGCGCCCGTCTGCCGCGCTCCACCGACCACCGCGGTCACAGCTGGGCTCCCGGCCGCTGAGAAACGGCTCACAGGTCACCGGCCGCTGAGAAACGGCTCACAGGGTCACCGGCCGCTGAGAAACGGCTCACAGGGTCACCGGCCAAACGACCAGCTTTGTCCGGAGAAAGTCACCGGCTTCGGTGGATGGCTATTCCCCATAGATTTGCCAGCACTCTGATGGGAAGTAAGGTGAAAGTGTGTCCAGAGGAGCAGTGGGATGTGCGTTTACTGTCCTTGGGGGTTGTATCTTCATCCCCGCCGCCAGCGGCCGTCGGCGTTCTGGGGTGCGGCGGGTCGTGTCCCTCCCCGCGGGGAGGCAGCAGGGCTCCCCAGGGCTGTCCCGGGGTGAGGCCGGTCGTGTTCTTCCCCGCGGGAGGCAGCGGGTGGCCCCTGGGGCTCCCCAGGGTTGTCCCGGGGTGCGGCGGGTTGCGTTCTCCCCGCAGGGGCAGCAGGTCGTCCCTCTCCCACCGGGGGGGGGGGGTGACACGGCACGGCGGCGCGAGTGACACCGCTTCTGCCAATGGCTTCCCGTAACTGACGGCGGGTGACAAGTGACCAATGGCCGGGTGCGCAGCCAACCAACACGGTCAAGGTCACGTAGAAATCGTGATACGGTATTGCAGCACGTCAGCGTTTTTCACAGAGCCAGAAGCCGTGGGACTGACGATTGGTTTTAGCTGTCGGTGAAGACCGCTTTCGTTGGGCTCACTTGGCCTTGATTTCATCTGAAATGACGTCAATGTCAGTGCGACGAAGTGGGTAATTAAAGCTAATGTAATTGGTGGTGCCCTCATGTCTTGGTGTGTAAAATAATGAATATAAAATGACCGAATGAACCATGGTTCTACTTACGACCGTGCTGACGCTTCATTTCTCAGTTCTTATCGCATAGTGTGGAATATGGTAAAGCTAAGAATTATCACTTTCGTGTAACAAATATGATATACTACGGATTATGCCGTAACATCAGGATCCCACCTCCCCTGTTTATTTTTCTGCCTTATCGCCATTCAAGGTCTTTAAACTGTCTATCTAAAGTCTATTAAATCTTCCTTTTGGAGTCTGTCAGATCATTCCATCGCCCCTACACGACTGTTAAATCGTTCCTCCATAGTCTGCTAGATCGCCCATTCAGTCTGTCAGATTATCCCTCCAGGTCGCCCCTCCATAGCCTGTTAGATCGCTCCTCCATTGTCTATCGCCCCTTCAATATGTCAGCTCATCCTTTCAGTGAGTTCAGAGCCTGTCAGATCGTCCCTCCACAGTCTGTTGGATGGCCCCTCCGTGGTCAGTTAGACGGCCCTTTCAGCGGTACCGCCCGTGCTCGGCCGTTGGAGCCGCCACGGAGCGGTCAGGATGCCCCGGTCGGCCGGGCCGGATGGTGTCGTTCGGACGATGGCACTGCTCGGGTGCGGTGTGGCCCGTGTGGCGGGGCGCTATCGGGCCGGACTGGGACACGATAGCGCCGCTAGGAGCGCTACGTGAGCGGCACTGCAAGCATGCATGACACCGGGGCCCAGATACGGCTGCCGCGACTCGCGTCGGAGGACATCAAAGCGGGCAGTTGTCCGTTTAGCTGTTGTAATTTGGGCACGGCTGGTGGCGGCTCGTCATAAGCGGGTCGTTAACAGTGGTATCCGGCTTTATGGGGTGTTCTGCGGCCGGGATTAACCGGCGGCCGCGGCACTATGTCTCAGCTCGTCATAGCCGTATTTCTGCTGACGACACCCCCCATTTCGTTCGTTATTTCGAGCCCACTGAAAGGTGTATTGTTGCATTGTTGTGGCAGAATGTGGTCGATTCAGCTGGTGATGGGTTTTGAAAGCCCATTGGCCGGGCTGGGATGGGGAACGGCGGGCTACCGCTCCCTGCAGAGCGGGAGAGCGGCCGGACGCTGCCGGACGGGAGAGCGGCCGGACGCTGCCGGACGGGAGAGCGGCCGGACGCTGTCGGACGGGAGAGGGAGAGCTGTCGGACGGGAGAGGGAGAGCGGCCGGACGGGAGAGCGACCGGCCGCTGTCGCCGGTCCCGGCAGCTCGCAGCTCGCGGTGGCTGGGGGTACTGACAGCCGGCCCGGCCCGCGGCCGCGCCCGTGTGTCGTCTGCTGCAGCGCGGGGTCTGCGGGGTTTCTCCTCTCTGGCCCAGTTCTATTACCAGCCACAGACCACCAGCTGAGCACCTCAGACGCAGCATTGGAGGCGATAGCGGCTGAAAGGAGGTGTTCGGCTGAACGGGGCGGCATTGTGAGGCGGCCAGCGGAAATGGATTGGATCTATTAGACACAGCGTCTGGTGTCAGTTTGGGGTTACCAGCGATGCTGCGGGGATTGTGTGTTTAATGCAATCTTACTGAGGAGAAACTTGCTGGGGAAAACTGACGTCACAGTCATTGTCCACTGTTCAGCGGGCCTCTATTGTTGTGGAAAATAACGATTTTTTTTTAAATGCATAAAGCGATGCATAAAGCATGCTGGACTTTATGGCTCAACGATATCAGGAGCGGTACCTGCTGGGCTTAAAATTATCTCAGTCCTTTTTAGCAAAACCTTTGTAGGCATGCGAAGTAATGATCTTTCGTCTGATAGAAAGCTTGCACGTTAAACTTTTCTTCTTAACCCTCGCATGTGTAGGGGGGTCGGATGGACCCCCCCCCCATGGTTTTTCGCGAATAACTCGCGTAAAAAGCGGCCGATCGCGACGAAACTTTCAGTACCCTCGCATTGATCAATTTGACACCTACCCTGAAAATTTCATGACCCTGACCCAAATGACCTTTGACCTGTGACCTCTTTTCCGAGACCATGTTTGGCCGGAATCGCGATTCGGCGTACGTCGGCTCGCATTAGCCGCGCATTTGCAAGCTTTTCGTGGTTTCAAACGTTCAAACATGTGATTTGATGTTGCTCCCATGCATTAGGGTGGGTGTCAAGGTCACCTGAAGGTCAGGTCAGGTCATTGACCTTTGGTGACCTCGGGTGACCTCGGTTCACTTTTTCGAGTTTTACATGTTTCTAGGCTAGTTTTTGGAGCTGAATTCGAATTTAGCAACCATTTGAACATTTACGAAGTAGTTTTGGTGCCTTCGTAACATGTTACGAAGCTGTCAGAGGCGGTTGACACGTACTACGAATACCCGTCACGACGCCTACTGATTGACCTGACCTGACCTGACCCGACCTGGTCTAAATTCTTAAAGACATCATCTGTGATCAAAACTAACACGATATTCGTGATCAGCACCCCGAAAAACACCTTAGCAGCCACACTTTACGACTTTCTAATAGGTCCCGATTTTCCCGGCTTTGGGTCATTGACCTGACCTGGAAGGTCAACCAATGACCTAGGACATTAAAATTGGGTATCATCGGCTTCCTCTCGTCACGGGCAACACGCTCGTTTTTTCCGCGAAGCTCTAGCTCGATCAGGGGCCAAACGGCAAGGGGGGGTCCAACCGACCCCCCCCCCCCCCCCTACACATTAGAAGCTGGAAAACGCCGCACACATGCGAGGGTTAAAATATCAACGTTTGGGTATTAGATGATCACTTCTTTTTCACTGACCTCAAGATGCGTCAATCTTTGAAAGCAAAGTGCAGATTGTTCTTTTGTCTCATGGGCTTGGACTTTGCTCAAGAATAAAAAATGGGTTCTTTTTGCACCCAGTAGCGTTGAACGCATGCTCGTGCTCTTAACGCTAGTCGCTTTAGCTGATTAAATCTTATCTTATCTCGGTCAATACCACGCATAAGACTTCATTTAAGATGTAACTCGTCCTTTGTGTCTAGTTGAACACCAGCTAGATGCCATTCTTACGTTAGATTGTTTTATTCAAACTTTTGTATTGGCTCTGTACTCTCTATGTTCTGAAATAGCCTCGATCCTTAGTAACGGAGGGACCGGCGGCCATTCGTCCCGACAGTCGTCAGCTCCGCCCGTGGCCCTCGGGGCCGCGCTAACTCGCCGGCAGCCGGGGCTCGTCTTGTCGCAAACTTGTGCCTAACGTGTCTCTCTGGGAGCGTTAGCAGAAATTAACGGGCCGAGCGGCGCTCGAGTCGAACTGGGGGTTAGCCAGATTTTACGGCGCGGAGACGGTCAGCCGCTGGCGTCACGCTGCATTAGCCGGCAGCGGGCCGCTCGAGCCGGGACTCTGCGACACGGATACTGGGCGGCCCGACCTGCTGCGCAGCGCGACGACACGACGGCAGCCAGATGGGTGGCCGCCGCCAGGAGCCCCCACGGAGAGGGCGCTTTGGAGGCCGTTTTGCTCCGGGCCGGGGGAACCGGTCCGGTGACGACGTCGGGCTGACCCTCCGTCGACTCTGCTGCCCACCGCCAAGAGGCGGCCTCCACCAGGCAGCAGGCCCTGCAGCTCGTTGCCCGCTGTGCGGCGAGCAAGCCGACTCACCACGACACATCCTGCTGACCTGCCCGGGACTGATGGGGGTTCGCCTCAGAATCCCGGCGGTCGGCAACATACTGCCGACGGTGGAGGAGGTCAGGCGCGGCGACACGGTGGCGGCCCTGGTGGCCGCCTTCAGGGCCCTCCAGAGCTGAGAAGCTACACCGTGGCTCTGCCGCAGATGGAGGGGACAACAACAACAACAACAACAACAACAACAACAACAACAACAACAACAACAACAACAACAACCTGCTGCGCGTGCTACAAGGGACGTTCTGAACCCGAGCTGAGTGGCCCTTGCCGCGCTGTTGTCCTTGTCCGCGGCTCCATCCAGAGAAAGCTCTGACAATGTGTCAATGCTCGTCAGCTGTTTGATGCTAGGAATAGCTGCTCGTATGAAATATGTTTCTTCTCTTGAACCAAACGCTCCAGTTGCTCATTTTTCCTTGTTGGAGCTCTGATTGGAACTTTTTAACGATAGGCTTCATCTTCTGCTCCCTTTTTCGCTCGCGGAAGATGGCCGTTTACAGAGGGGAGCGAGGGAGAGTGAGAGGAGCAGAAGTGCTCTGACCAAGCATTTTAGACGGCTCTGCACATCTCCATACCCTCGAGGCTCGGTTCGAGTGGCGCGGCCTCTCGGTCGCTATTGACCTCCGCGGGACCGGCTGCAGACTAACGAAACCCGGCTCCTCGGCGGGCGCACCGTGCCGGCGCGCCGCGGCGCCCCGGTGCACGGTCTTGCCGAATACCAGATTAGCGCGAATTTAATCAAAAACCCGACTTTCGATAAACTGTTATTTATACCTATCAATGGGTAGGAAATTGTCCGAAGTTATCGGATAGAACCTTATTTTTAAGCCACTTTATCATTTGAGGACTTATATCCCTGCCGAAAGTAGACCCACGATCCGGTTCCTGAAATCGGGCTATGGTACTGAGAAATATGTCCAGTTTTCAATGTAAATTTTACGGAAGCTTCGAGAAGATATATGAGAAAATAGCATATCACCGGATAGCACAATTCATGATGAAGCTGTTTCTGCTATCATGGTAGCTTTTCAATGAATGGTTTCTGAGTTTAATGAGTTAGAACAGGAGCCCTGCATGTGTATCGTTCTCACAATAGTATTTCATAAAGAAGTTGGAAAATGTCAAAATGGATAAAAATGGATATGACGAATAGGGCATGGCTGAACTCTCCGCACATTTCTGAACATAAGCGAGCAAGTTTCAGCTGCCACTTTTTGCCTATTTGCCGTCAATTCAGCTTTGAACATGTCTAGTCGGCCGCCCGGCGTGACCTGACCAAGGTGGGGGGCGGCGCGGCCGAACAGGCTCCAGCCTAATTAACTATCTCAAGCACACGGAATCGTGATTTCATGCACTCCTTGCAAGGTTCGATGCTTCACTTTTGCATTATTGGCCTTACGTGACGTCATTTATGACGTCACTAGGATAATAAGAGTTTTTCGTCAATAACTCCTGATCAAATTGAGCTAGCGAGTCGGGAAAGCCACCAATGGACTCAGGAAGACCTGCCGAATCGAATGATATGCAACATGACCTCCTTCGACCAACTTCGTGATCTGGGGGGCTCTAACCTGACCTTGACCCGAGGTCAACACCTTAAGTTGACTTCAACCGAACAAAAAGTATACCATTCGACGCACCTGAGCGAGGCGAACACGATGATGCCAAAATTGCGACTCTGCGGCATTTTTTCGCGAAGTTATTAATAGAAAACGAATCCGTGCCTTGGGCCACTTGACCTGAACTCAGAGGTCACAGGTTAACCTGAGACCTTAAAATCGGATACCAGTTGCTGCGTCTCGTAACGGCACACACGCTCGTTTTTTTTCCGCGAGGCTCTAGCTTCATCAGGGGCGAAACAGCGACGGGGGTCGTACCCCCCCCCTTCGGCCGGCGAAGGGGGGGGGGGGGGGGGTATTTTGAAAACCAATAGGTCCGGTGAGGGGTAAACGTCAGTTTTGGAGCCAGAGAACCATTTTCAGTGGATCCGAGCGGCGCTGGGATTAAATTCGCGCTAAACTGGTCTTCGGCCACACTGTGCGGTGGTCGTCATTTGCCTGTAATCAGATTGGTGCGCCGTAATTGTCTATTTGTCTTGATCCGTGTCGGTGTAACTGCTCCACTGCCGTAGCACCACTGCCGGCCTGTTTTTTGTGTGCAATATAAACACTGGCGTGACGTTGTATGTGTCTGCGTACAATACCAAGCGCGCAGTGTGAATTACGGTCTCTGTTGTGAACCGTTCGGGCTGCGCAATGTGACTGACACTCTGTGCCCGTCTGCCCGCCCCTGTTGCAGTACGGGGACGTGTACAACTTTCCGCAGGCCACCTTTGACAAGGTGCTCTCCAAGGAGGGCGTCGAGAGCGACGAGGAGGAGGACGCAGAGGGCGAGGAAGAGGAGGAAGAGGAGCTCGAGGAGGAGCTGGAGAAGGAGTTTGTCGCCGACTTCGCCGAGAGCGACGAGGAGGCTGACATTGAGGTGGGTGTGGTGCCGGGGAAGGGGGACAGGCGCTGTTGTGTGGTGCCGAGGGAGGCGGGGGGGGGGACAGGCGCTGTTGTGTGGTGCCGAGGGAGGCGGGGGGGGGGGGGGCAGGCGCTGTGGTGTGGTGCCGAGGGAGGCGGGGGGGGGACAGGCGCTGTTGTGTGGTGCCGAGGGAGGGGTGGGGGACAGGCGCTGTGAGGTGGGTGTGGTGCCGAGGGAGGCGGGGGGGGGGGCAGGCGCTGTGGTGGGGTGCCGAGGGAGGCGGGGGGGGGGGGGGGCAGGCGCTGTGGTGTGGTGCCGAGGGAGGGGTGGGGGACAGGCGCTGTGAGGTGGGTGGGGTGCCGAGGGAGGCGGGGGGGGGGGGACAGGCGTTGTGAGGTGAGTTTTGCTGCACCTTGCCGGGTCTCAGAGAGGGTCACCTCGGCTCTGAGACGGGGATTAGCACTCCTCAGTACGAGCAGCCCCTCCGCCGTGAGTTTGGGGGCGTCTCGCCGGGTCGGTGGCTAACGTAAGTCCCTTCGCTGTGGATTTGGTCACCCTCACCGGGTCGGTGACTGACGTCCTCAGTCGCTCTTCTGTGGGTTTGGTCACCCCTTGTCCTCAGTCCCTCCGCCGTGGATTTGGCACCCCTCACCTGGCGTGGAATGAGTAGTCGCAAACAGCCCTTCAGTGCCGTGCAGAGACCGAAGCCGCCGTCTGCTACATGGTGTATTTATTTCTTCTGAGCTAATCTCGCTCCGATGGACTCTGGTGTGTGAGCGGACACTCGATGGCTCTCCAGTCCCAGCACGGCTGCTGTGTTGATCCGCGTCATCGACACATGCTTCTAACCACGGATATTCAGTAACGACCTGCGGGGTACGCTCTATAAACCCCACTCCAGAAACTTCCTGGCGCGACTCGCAGCCGCTCCGATATATTGTTCGGTCGTGATCGGGGCCAGCTCAGTTGCGTAGGTGCAGGTTTTTATTTCGCTTCATGAATGGCTATCGTTGGTACGGCAGTTCCGTACGGCGGAGTTGACGGCCGTTCGTACTCGCTCTGCCGCTCCCGAGTCCCGTGGGTCCGGTCTGCAGCGGGCGGTATGGCGCGCTGTGATTCGGACGGCCGTTCGCTGTGCTGCCGAGACGCTCTCCTAGCCTGGCAGGCCGGGCTGGCGGCAGCACGATATCTATAAACGGCTGGCACAGGGTCAGGGGAGCGCGGGGCGCCCGCAGCGGCGGACAGTGGGGACCCGGCACACTGCCCTCCGCCCGCCGCCCAGGGCACAGGACAGGACGGTCCTGTGGTGCCCAAAGTAGCCCCAGTAGTATCAGCGCGCGTGGAATGGATGCAGACTAAGCTGCTCTGGGGTTCTGTGACAGGCCCGCCGCTACCGCCTTATCTTTTCTGTGTGGTGTGGACCGCATAGGTTCGCTGGAATGGTGTTTTGAGTTATTCATGTGTGGCACATCACTGCATATTTTGACGTTCTTTGAGTCTTTCCCAACTCGCCAATGATCTAGCACCATTTCAGTCCCACGCACAAGGGGGAAAAGCTCAAATTATTGAGCGCTCAAAAATTGAGCGGGCCCCATTATGAAGGAATAGGCGAAACGATGGTATTTTACAATGCCTCTAGCGTCACACTACGGCAAATATCGTATCCAAATAAGGTATCAATGGCAAGAGAGAGCAACAAGGTTTCTTCTCGAACACTCGCCGTGATAATTTATATCGGTGTTTTTGGAAAGAAAATGCCCTAAAGACGCTCAACTTTTTGAGCGCCACTTGTCGTTCGGGACCGCGATACTCAATAAATTGAGCGCCACGACAGACGACAGTCAGCTGGCGCTCAAAAAATTGAGTGCCGGCCAGCATCTACACTCAATTTATTGAGCCTTCTCCGTAACAGGTGAAGCCGGTACTGGCTGCCATTTTTGATGTTATGTTCGTTGAAATACGTTAAACTGAGTTGAAACAGAAATGCAGGAAGTTGAATGCTACGTGGTACCTAAACTTTTCACAAACCCATGGCATCATGTCACATTTTCCGCTAGTAGTTTTATCGGTCGCCTTTCGGATTCGGCACACCTCAAATAATTATACAGGGCTTGAATAATCCGTATGAATACTGTATTGATATTTTCTGACTGTACTGGGAGAAGGGAATACGTGATTACAGAAAGATATCCACCCACGCTTGAATATTGGAGAATAATACAGGAAAAACTGTATTGCCACGGTTACAACTTACAAGGCCATCGGCCGCAAACAAACAAAAATACTATACAATGTGGGTTAGATTCACAAACATCATCAAGTGTGGAACACAGAGACGAGCAAAACAACATCACATTATCGCATGCCAGCCCGACCACATTGGAACCGGGTGACCTGCGACCGGAACCTGCGTCTTGCCAGCATACATCACAAAAGCAGGAGGCAGTGTCGTACTGCTTTGATCCAAAATATGCCATATAACAAATGATATAAACGACCTAAGCTCGGACTAAGCTTATCATTATCAAATCCTTAACATGTAAAAGACGAATGGAAACATCGAGTCTCAGACCAGCAGTAGCAACCATCACAGTAGCAACATCACAAAGAACACGCGGCATTATCAGACAGCCGTTTTGTTATCGGGCTACAGGGTTTTGTTATCGGGCTACAGGCGGCGACGGCGTGGTTGCAGACCAGCTGCGAGGTAGCGGCGTGCGGGCAAAAGGCGCGGGCACACCTCCATGTGGCCGTGCGGACAGTGCGCGGTCGGCGTCGCATAGTGGGCGGCATCGGGCTGTCCCGGGGCCGTCGAAGCCGCACAGGTTGTCGGCGCAAGTGGGCGCGCGCGGTCACCACGGCCAGCTGCTCACCACCAGCACAGACTGCGCAGCGTCGCCGCTCCGCCGGCCAGAACACGCAGACAACCCTTCTTGCAGTCGCACAACACGTCGCCAAACTCATTCACCTGCTCCACCATGTTGTTGATGTCACCGAGTCGTTCAAGTTGTGGCTCGTGCCGTCGAGCATGACCTGCCCGATCGGACACGGGTCAGCGGCTTCTGCTCCAGCGAAGTCTTCATCTTGGTGACGTCTTGCTGATCTCCACAAAGGCTGAGCAGATGACCTTACCCACAGGGACGGTCGACGTCCTCGCCAGCGACCGCTTGGTTGTGCAGACCTGCCAGAAAAAGAAAAGTTGTTTGGTGATCTCAAACGATTTTTTTATGCAGTGGAACAAAATGGAAAATATGTCATACAACAGGAACTAAAAAAAGATGCAGCCTAGGTCGTCTAAGAAATGGGTGCAACATTGATAAAATTCTTCCTTGAATGAATTCTACAAATGCTTTTGATAAAATGTGTGGTGATTATAAGGAGACCACTTTACTATAAAATTGTTCAGGATTCCCTATTTGGACCTGTCAAAAAAATCCTGACTGCACACCAACAATGAGCATTAAATCCAAAACCTCTACCAGGTACCTAGGGATAATTAAATTCTGATTCAGGAAAATATTTCACATCATACAAATAAAAACCTTTACTATATTGAAACTGAAAATGTGATGCCGATCCAGTGACCTAAGGGTCTCAAAGTATAATAATGAATTAATCTATTATAAATTTGGTGGTGACTGCCAACTGGCGTCTGGCAGCCTAGACCTTGAGGCTTGAAAGTGGCCTTCCTTTTCCGTTGACTCCGATCCTCCAGATGGAAATGATATAAGGGATCATTTTTATCTTATTTCAAATGAGCCAGTCAGCAAAGTGGCTATCCTGTTTCAGCATTCACACACACAATAGTTGACTGTCAGTCTGTCATGCTGTCAGTGTTGTGAAGTAACGAAGGAGTTGAGTTTTGTTGATTATAAATTGTGATGTTATGTAAAGGACTGGAAAATGAATGTGAAAACTATGGAAACATATTGGCATATTGGACATATTGGAGTATTGTCACTTACTATCAGGACATGATATGGATAGAGAATACATTCAAATTAATAAGAAATGCCAAATATCAAGGTACTCAATCACTGATAGCAGTGGACTATCATATGTTTTAATGTCAATTATATGAAAGTTAAGACTGAAACTACCTTTTACTTCATCATACATAATGAAAAATTGTGTGAAGAAAACATTCACAGCCTCTTTGAAGCACTTAGACCACTAAAAAACAAAAATTTTCACGTAAATATGTTGTGTCTCTTTCCCTCAAAACATCATATCGGATGGCGCCACTTTCGTCGACAGTTACTTATCTGCACGCAAATCGAGGAAAACGTGAATTGATTGACGTTTACGTGTTTCCAAATTTAAAATCACAGCATATTGAAACTTTTCAGTGTACCTTTTAACATCTAAATATAACTAAAACGATAAAAACTTACCTTCAACACAAGAACGACGACAACCACGCGAACGGAGACGTCGCGACGAAATAAACAAACGGCGCCGCCAAATGAAAAATATTCTCCGATATGGGTGATGTGAAATTGAGTCGCAATCATTTTGGGTAGTATAAAAAATGCTCTTTCCAACAGAACCCTAGTAAAAAACGTGAATGGACAAAAAATAACTTTTATTTCGACATAAATATTGGCCTGTTTTTAAGGCATCCTGGTATGCCGTAAGATTTCGACCTAGAAATTGGTGTTCCCCCAATCATTGAAGCTTGAGCAGTGAAAAATATGAAAGCCTAATCTGTTTTGCATCATTAGTGATTCTCCTAGGGTGTTGCCATTTCTCCCTAGGTGTTGCGAGTTGCTTTTGCAAAACGTGTTCCTGAAACGGCTCAATTTTTTGAGCCCTCAGCATTACGCCTATGGGAGCCTCTGACGTCACACGCTCAATATTTTGAGCGCTCAATAATTTGAGCTTTTCCCCCTTGTGCGTGGGACTGATTTATCACATTGAATGATTGAGATACACCATTTTTCGCAAGTGAAGAAAGGGAGATAGGGAACTAACGGGGAAATAACGAGGAAGAGAGGGAACTAACTAGTGAATGA